CTTGTCCTGAAAAAGGCGCAGCCTCTAGAGTGTACTAACACAAGAGCGATAATCTTATATCTGCTGGTGGAAGAAAATTGCAGAGAAAGCTTTTCTGGATGAAAATCCACGATAAAAGTATATTTGGGGAAAAGTGTCTATGCATTTCCCCCATTCACGTGCACTTCCATGGATGTGAGGCACGGATCTTTCGATAGTGCTAGGCATTCATCTATGACTAGTTTCTTAAATTTCATTTCGCGATATCCAGAAACAGAAGTAAGAAACATTCTAGTGTTGTGCTTGTAGTTATGTCATTACTTAACATTGCTTTAATTGCATGCCATGTGACTTCTGAAACAAACTACCAACAGTGTTTCCGTTTCTTGCTACAGAATGAACTAGGCATCACGAGTCACTGCGGAAGATGCATTTTGCTATCAAACCGACTTGCACAGTAGAAGCTGCTTAAAAGGACCCTGCAGCACTTTTTGAACATGGTCAGAAAAGCGCTGCCCATCGGTAGTAGAAGTTCCTGACAACACACGAGCCAAATATTTTAGCGCAGCACGTGGCCTGGAATTCACAATAAATTATCAAAGTCAGCTAAAAATAGTTTTCTCTTTTCTCGACAAATGACGGAAGACGCTCAAAAATCACTCTTAGAAGGCTATCTATCAGCCATTGGCTGATTTGAACATGGCTTGCTCGGTTGTTACAGGAATCTCCGTGGGGGGCCACGACTTGTCCACGCGTGCATGCGCGATAACACTAAGAAGCCCCATATTCGAAGAAAAAAAAAAAAACTCCTCAAGGTCACGAAGCGTATGTCACGTATTTTGTTTTTTTGTTTGTTTTTTTTTGCCCCTGCCTTTTTTTCTGCTTAGCTTCCAGCGCTTTCGTAGAGATGAGAAAAAAAATGCATTTGCAGCGTGCAACAAATCTTTGTAACTCCACTGGTACTGGACAAATTCATGAAATTTTTGTGGCGTTGAATTCGTGAAGCAATAAGCTCTTGTAGTAAATACATCCCATGATTATTCGAAAAAGTGTTTCATGGCCGTTTAAGGAATATGTGGGCTAAATTTCATCTCGATCAGGTGATGAGAAGTATCAAAAACATCGTGTCCAAACTTGGGAAGCTGCCAAAAAAGGGATCTAGATAAAAGTGCATTTTAAAAGCATAAGCGAAAGCTCACCAATACTTCAACATATCTTTTTTTTTTTTAATAAATTCTACTATATTGAGAGCTTGGCAGTCATAGTTATTTTGAGCTTGTGGATTTGGTGAACTCCATGGAAAATGCAATAGCAAGGAACCATGTGACATTTTCTAGGGGACTCTAGGCAATGAGCTCTTCTTTGTTTTAGTAGCCACCTTGTGCTCTTTAAAAGTGATTTTAACCTACTTCGAGCTTAGTTACAATCTTCAGTTTTTTTTTTTTTTTTTTTTGTCATGAAAATAGAAAAACTAAATTTTGAAAGCAAATAAAAACAAAAAAGTATGTATTTTGGGTAAAGGCTTGCATTTCTCAACTCATCTTTCGTTAAGCTATAGCAGGGGCCATATTCAGAAAAAAAAATTTTTATTCGAACTTTTTTCTGTTGGCCGGCTGGCTCTGCTACTATGTCAAATGCCAGGATTGGTTGCATTAATCTCTTAAGACCATTTTGGTTTTACTTAGACTTACGAATAACAAAAATCTATGTACAATGGTAGACAAGCAGAAGTGTTCATGTGGCAAGTACCAGCTTAATGGCTGGAAAGCTCTGCAGGATGGCAGTATTCTCAAGCCATTTAGGTACGGAAACAGTACGTTTTGCTTGGGCCATTCTGTGCGTTTGAGAAACCCTTTGCCGCTCTCCCTGTGCCAACCACAGATGGCGCCTTAGCAGAAGCAAATCTTCCTATCACACATCGAAAATATGTCAGCCGATTTCTTAAAAGAAAAAAAGTAATATAAAGTAAGAAGATATAAGAAGATACGTTTTTCAAATCTATCTCAATACAGAAGTACAGAGAGTCGAAAGTATCCCCAAGATACCATCGTGGTACTTTTGTATCATGATATTGCCCACTCTTGGTTCAAAGGTTTATATGCATGCAGGTGAAGTGAACAGCATAAATGTCTAGAGTATGGTGTTCATGGTCCATGAACAATGGTAAGAATTCTCAAAGATTGGGTTCTGGCATTTTTATTTTTTTTTTCAGATTGCATTTGTTGTATAGACACATGTGAATTCGTTCAAGTTTTTTTTTTTCATAAGGTATCTTGTTTTTCCAATGTAGTGAGCTAAATAAAACTTTTTTAAACTTGTTTGAATAAGCGTGACAGCACAGATTAAGGTGAAAAAGTGAAATAGAGTTTGATGAGACTTCAGTTCAAACTATGAAAGATGATGTAGGCGTTATATTGCCAATCGTGGTGGATCAGATGCTGTTCAATGAAACAAAGGGCATGCTCACAGCGGAGCATGCTTAGAGGTTGCTCATAAGGCACAGGCTCACCACAAAGTGGCTTTAATAAACAGAATTGCTGAGTACACAGAGAGCTCATCATGTCACTGTTTGTAACCTGACTGATAAAGCTATGCTGCATCATCCCCTGAAAAACTTATTGTATTGACTCTTTAGACATGTGACACCACAGAGATGAGCAACACCATATTGGGCTGTTGCTTTATTTTAACTGTCAATAGTGACAAAATTTGAATAATAAGATGCTATGCTTTTCATATTGTTTCAGTTTTGATAGATCATAAAAAAAACTTAAATGGTAAAATTGGTATATGACTATCTTCAATTATCAGCTGCTATGTCCAGCGGATGAAAGTGGTTTTTTCAGTACCAATAGATGGCACTTGATCATCATTATAATCATCATCATCATGATCAAGATGGCGGAGAAATTGTGTCAGAAAAATTAGCCACCTTATATACGAAATGTCTCTTGATAGAAAGGGTACCAGAATCTTGGAAGAATGCCAACATTATTTTAATCCATAAGAAAGGAGATGTGAAGGACTTGAAAAATTACCGGCCGATCCACTTACTGACCATTTTCTACAAACTATTTACAAAAATAATAGCTAATAGAATTAGGACGACATTATAGTTCAATCAACTATAGGACCAAACAGGATTTCGTACAGGCTACTCCACAATGGACCATATTCATACTATCAATCAGTTGATAGAGAAATGCACGGAATACAACCAATCGCTATACACAGCCTACATAGATTACGAGAAGGCATTGGACTCTTAGAGACATTAGCAGTGATGCAAGCACTACGGAATAAGGGCATCGACGAACCATACATAAATATATTAGAAGAAATCTAAAGTGGATCCACAGCCACCATAGTTCTCTATAAACAAAGCGACAGAATCCTAATAAAGAAGGCTGTATGGCAGGGAGACGCAATCTCTCGAATGCTATTCTCTGCGTGCTTACAGGAGGTTTTCAGGACTCAAGATTGGGAAGAGTTAGGGATAAGAGCTAATGGAGAATATCTTAGTAACCTGCAATTTGCAGATGACATTGCTTTGATGATGGCACTCAGGGGACAAGTTACAGTTCATGATTACAGAACTGGACACAGGAAGCAGAAAATAGTCCTGAAAGATTAATATGCATAAAATAAAGTAATGTGCAACAGTCTTGGCAGAAAATGGCACTTGATGTAACATTGAAAACTTCAACGCTGCAGAGTGTAGTTTTGGGGCGTAGCTCCTTATGATCGAGGCTTGCCCGTTGGCGTTGGAGTCAATGTTGTGTGCCATGGTCGCCACTGATTACGACAATGATGCTGATCGCGATGAAGAACAAGTGCGTTCCAGACTGCACATTCTCTTTCTGCCATCAGGGCACAGCACATGCAAGGTATACCCACTATACTTCGTAACAATGATGATGATGATGATGATGATCACAGACTGGCTTGTGCAGTAGATGACATCTCGATATGCTCTACAATGCATTTCATATGACTGGAAACAATCAACAACTACCAAGAGACACAACCACCTTCAAGGATTGGAACCCACAAAGCCTTCCATACTAAGAACGAAAGAGTTAGCAGGCGTTGTGCCCCTCCAGGTGGTAGTTGCCAGATTGCTCTCTCCCTCTGTCCTCTGTGTCCTTCTGTATCCGTGTATGCGAATCAAATAAATAAATAAATTCACCAGGGGAACCGCCCAGACCTTGTCTTTGCCAACTTCAGGCAAGATCCGATACCGCAAAGCAGTAATAATGAAGGCAAAACAAAATTCACTACTCATACAACATACCAGTTATGACCAATAAACATTGTATATAACTACACACCGCTTGGCGCTCATTTACATGCGTGAGTGATCAATATCATGGGTGACTTGCAGTAACAGCACACGATCCCACTGCTTCACCCACTTATCATCATTCACTTTGTGGATATGCCGGGATTTTTTTAGTTTCAATTTCACGTCAGATTTGCTTTTAGCTCCTGCATCTCTATAATTATAATGTATAGCATATCTCAAGTATGCCTCAATAGACACATAGTTTGAGACCCATGTTTTAATTTCTCTAGTATACATTAATAGACTACATTCACTTCACTGGCACTGTCTGCTCAAGCACTCTTAATTGTAGTGAAGTCTGATGACAGTTAAGGTTGTCTTTAGGGTACAAGCTACTGAATGAAACTGGTGGTGCTTGAGAATTTATGTCTTGGTGAGGCTCGATTGCAGTCGAAAGTGCCCCACCTCACTGGAGTACAGCTACACTTGCAGCAGAACTATACAAATTTTGAAAATCAGATGAATTTGAATATGTGGATTAACATTAGCCCATGTTTTGATTAGATGGTTTTTTGTAATATTTTGCGTGTAACCATTTTGTACATTGGCTAGCTTTCCTTATTCCCTTTGGTAGTGGTGATTGGAAAATAAAGATTGTTCAGACTAAAATGGTTGGGGCAGCTTTTAATTTTGTGCATCTATGAAAATTTTTCATTATGTTCCCCACATTTTATAGGTTCTTGTCAACAGTGGACTCACTCACAGCCCTTCCACAAGCAATGTTGAGGAAAGAAAAATACCATCACCTTTGCCACTACTACCACCACCACCGCCACCACTACCCCTACCCCCGCCTCCACCGCCACCGCTGCAGGAAGAAGCAGTACCATCTGGTGCAAAGGACAACTTATTGCCGCCTTCCAATCCAGTTGAAACGACGGTAGAAAAAGTGGATTCTACAGCTGAGCGTGCGATGGTGATGTCTGTTGCTGACACTGCAACAGGCCAAATCAAGATGCACATTTATAGAATGGCAAGTAATATTGTTTTCTTTTCCTCAGCATTAAATCACGGACACCCACAAAGTGGGCTTTGGGAAAATGCTGCCTAATGCTCCTCTTTACCACTCCCTACATTTTTGTGGTGATTGAACAAACTTATTGGGGGTAATAAAATAATGCAATTCTAGTCAAAGCAATAAATTCTTCCTTTACTATGCTTATGTACTTATGTTCTTCATGCTGTAAGTTTCAGCATCTCTGTAATAGTATAGATGAAATTTGTTAAAGGGACTCTAAAGAGCAAAGCAATTTCTCGCATATTAGTAAAGTACAATTTCCCAATCCTGAAAACACCACTCTTACTGTGACACAACGGTTGGTAAGCCAAAAAACGCACAAAAAGGAAAGGCAAGTGGAGACACCCCCGCATCAAACATCGTGACTTAGTTTAAAGCCATCTGCTGAGTCCTGTGTAGATTCTAATTGATAAAAATAAAGCACATTGTCATCTGTCGGTGCCAAAGACAGAGCATGTGAAGTTTTAGAAAATGTCATCGAGCCAATGTCGCGAAAATACAGAAAACACATTTCGAAATTTGTCACGTCACACATTGTGATTTTGGCATGAAATTTAAAAATGAAACTTCAACCTTTATACCTCCGTTATAATGAACCTGTGATAGTAAAACATATGGTGAAACAGTTCTCAGAGTGTAGTTTTTCAGTCTAAGCCAAGTCATTGTTGCTCTTTAGTGTCCCTTCAAAAAGTTTCTATTTGTAGGTGTAAAACAAGCGCCAATAACACGTAAATAATTGTTCAATGCTAGAAGTGGAAACATTGCCTATAATTTGCTTGTGTAACATAATTAACATAATAATAAATGCATTGCCCTGACCTGACTCAGAATTGTAGCTAGGCAGCTTAATGGTGATGTTTGATGTATTGAACTAACCTCAGTTATTTTTCGCAGGTTGGAAATGTGCGCTGGCACCAGTGCATGTATTGCACAAAGGAATTCAAAAAACCAAGTGATCTTGTGCGGCATATTCGGATACACACGCAAGAGAAACCCTACAAGTGCAGCAATTGTTTTCGTGCCTTTGCTGTCAAGAGCACTCTGACGGCACATACTCGAGCCACCCACCTGGGTGTCAAGCAATTTCAATGCCCCACCTGTCAGCACCTGTTCTCTACCCGAGGCTCCCTGAAAGTCCATATGCGAATTCACACAGGTTAGTTTGACATAGGTGAATTTCTATGTGTCACATCATTTATGCGTGGTTGCCTGTGTGTGTTGCAGGGGACAAACCATACACTTGTGGAATTTGCAGCAAAAGCTTCAGTTCATCTAGGCGCTGCAAGATGCATGTGGCCGCTCACTGTCGAGATGGGGAGAATTCACGTTTGACTGCAAAGCTTCATAGTAGCACTGGGGTTCTTACAGAAGATCTCTCATCATTCATTCCTATTCAAGAGCCCATCTTCATCTCTGAAGTGACTGATGATGCACCCATTGATGACGTAGATTCAAAGCGAGCACCATCTACTCAGGAGCGTCCCTACAAGTGCAGCATTTGTCCAGTCGGGTTCAAGAAGTCCAGCCACCTAAAGCAGCACATCCGCTCGCACACAGGTGAAAAGCCCTTCCAGTGCAATGAATGTCAACGGAACTTTGTATCCAACGGTGTGCTCAAGGCTCATGTAAAGACCCACTCAGGCCTCAGGGAGTACAAGTGTACTGTAAGTATATATTATTTTCATGAGCAGGCACAAACATTGCTGCTGCTCAATTTCAATTATTTTTTCACACTTCGGGAAATGTTCATTAAAATCTTGCTAACTTCAAGCTGTATAGCAAGAATAGTCAAATCCCAATTATTCTCAATAAAAAGTCACAGCTTTTGCTGAAAAAGCAAAACAATGAGCGCAGTAGCAACGAATTGAAAGGTCACATGCAGAATGGCAAGCACATCGAAACATGCCCTGTGTTCCTCACGCACAATTGACGCACAAAATGTACTCACAGGTACGGAGGCACGCGAATAAGCATTTTATTTGTTACTTTGCTGTGTCTGAAAAGCGTGGGCTTTTCGCAAATAGAGGCTGCAAAGTTTGCAGTGACCTTTGTGAACCCGGTAACTACAGCGGAAGTGCCAGGTAAAGTCCGAGGCCAGCCAAGGCGTGCGACCTTCCCCTCCTCGCCGCCGCGAGATAAGGGTGCGTGAGGGAGCGTCACTCCCCTTCTCTAAGCTGAGCAAAGTACGCGTAGGAGATTAGAGCAGGGGCTGCTACACGATAAGTAGCTTGCCATTTGAACGGTGAAGGATGTGCTCCAAAGTAGCTCAGTGGTTAACGCCTCGCTTTCACGACGCAGAGGTCCCACGTTCGATTCTGCGCGCTGGAGTGTTTTTTCTGGATTTTTTTTCTTTCTTGCATTTTCATATATATAGATATGTACATATACGGTGCATCACATCGACGCCGACGTCGATGGCGAAATCAAGCCGAGAGTGTCCATATAATTGCTATCGCAATAAAAGTAGATAAGGTGAATTCAGATAACTACAAGGTTGTCTTTATCACCATTATCAATTTTGATGAAATTTGGTTTAGGTGCCAGTTTTGGACTCAGAACAATAGTTCTTGAAGTTATTTATGTGAAAAAAAAAATTCTTTAGATTGGAAAATACAGCTGCAAACTTTTCAATAGCCAGAAACACTTTTTCAATAATTTAGTACTTTTGCAGTGAAGCCATCTTATACCCCTTTCACACGGTAAATCTAACATCATTAACAACGAATGAGATTAGGGGAACCTGCAGGATGTCACACCACAAAAACCAATGTCACTTTAAAATGATGTTCGTATGACCTTAGTCGCCCTGAGCTTTGACTTTGGGAGAAATAAAAATCTATTCAAACTTGCATGTGGCATGCATGTATCCACGTAAATCATTTTTGATCACTAAAAAGGTGCCCTGTTTCACACAACTTGCTGCAGCTACACAGTATAAACGAAGTCAAGCCAGGAGCCACTCAGACATAGCCAACGATATGACAGGGCATGAGGACTGCTAGTACAATGAACTGAAGCGTGGGAGCATGACTGACGCCCCAGCTGCAGATATGAGACGGTGGCTGCTAATTTGTGTATTCACTGCCTTGATCACCAAGACACTTTCAGTTTGATGATCAACACCCGTGATGCAGGCAACTACGGCATCAGAGTGCAGATGAAACATGGCCAGCGTCCAGCCACTGTAGTTGTGTGCTATTATGCCATCAAACCAGTAAAAGTCAAGCTTGTAAAAAATAAGATATTTACTTATTACAACAAGAGTTACATATACATAAGTTAACAGCCACCTCCCAAGAATGTCCCTGACGTCGAGACTACGCATTCGGTCCCAAAACAAATGTTTTTAGTGAACTCCTTCGACGGGAAATGTAATTTTCAGCGAAAGGCATTATACTCATTCCACACTTACAGAAGGAATGTCATGTACTTTCTAATGCCTTCAGATTTAATGCCATTTACGTTATGCCACATGGACGAATAAAATGGAATTTGCCCATATGTCATTCGTCAAGTAATGCCATGGCGAGAAGTAATTTGACTGATAAATGCATACTCTTGACGGTGCAGCTGACAAAGTATCATGTACCCAGATTATATAATTACATCTATAATCAGTTGTTAACAAATTTTTCACGTCTTTTGTTTACACTAATCACTTGATGAACATCTTCAGCTGCTAGACGCTGTATTTCGGACGCGACAGGCACCATTTTCTGTTTACCCTGGGGACCTGAGTAGCATTGGCTTAGTTTCCTGCAAGTTGTTGCAACGTTGTGAAACAAAGCTACAAGATAAAGCTAACGGCAGCGTAATATACTTATTTATACTGTTGAGACGTTTATTGGCGGACGGTTGTCGACGATGCTTGACAGTGACAGTCAATGCGGGTACCGACTCTCTGCACGAGCTGCTCTTCTTCTTGCTAAAAAGGGCAACCCACTAGAAGGCGCTGGAGAGGACGACCCACTGTTCGAAGGCTTCACCACAACTACCCCGGGTACGAAGAGGGAGCCGCCTGGCGACCTAGCAGCTGGTTACTATGAGCGGGTCGTGGTAGGCTTTGAGGCGCTCCACGTTGACAATGTCGCGCCCTCGACGGCGCATGTCCGAAGATGGTTCGATGGGTTCGATCAAGTAATTTACAGGGGAAGTGCGTTCGACGACACGGTAGGGGCCTTCGTATTTGGGCAATAGTTTTGAAAATAGGCCAGTTGAAGTGGTAGGGATCGAGAGCCAGACGAGCGCTCCAGGGAGGAACATGGGCGCAGTGGTGCTGGTGTCAGCGCGAATGCCTTTTTGCCGCTCTTGATCATGCGCTGTAAAGGTCCTTGCGAGCTCTCGACACTCTTCAGCAAGCTTGGCTGTAGCAGAAATAGGCGCCCACTCTGACGGATCTGGCTTGTACGGAAGTATAGTGTCGATGGTGTGCGACGGGTGCCTTCCATATAATAAAAGAAAGGTGAAAAGCCAGTAGTGCTCTGAGGGGCGGTGTTATATGCGTAGGTGACGAAGGGTAGAATGGAATCCCAATTTGTGTGATCGGCGGTGACGTACTTGGAGAGCATGTCGCCGAGCGTACGGTTGAAGCGTTCAGTAAGGCCATTCGTCTGCGGGTGGTAAGCAGCAGTTTTGCGGTGAACAACGTTGCACTCTTTGAGAATGGCTTCGACGACTTCAGACAGGAAGACGCGGCTTCAATCACTGAGCAGTTCCTGAGGTGGACCGTGTCGCAGCATGAATCGTTGGAGCAGGAAGGAGGCCACATCGCTCGCTGTAGCCGCGGGGAGAGCGGCAGTTTCGGCGTATCGCGTGAGGTGGTCCACAGCAACAATGGCCCAGCGGTTACCGGCCGACGTTAGTGGAAGTGGCCCATACAAATCAATGCCAACGCGCCCAAATGGCCTGGCAGGGCAGGGTAGAGGTTGCAGACCTACCGGCGACAGGTGCGTTGAAGTTTTGCGGCGCTGACATTCTATGCAGGAGCGAACGAATTTCTGCACATAGCGGTACATGCCGCGCCAAAAGTACCGTTGGCGAATGCGCTGGTAAGTCTTCGATACGCCGGAGTGCGCACATTGCGGATCAGTATGAAAGAATTCGCATATGTCAGAGCGCAGACTGCGGGGTATGACTAGTAGCCACTGGCGGCCGTCACCGCTGTAATTGCGTCGGTGGAGAAGGTCGTCGCGAACGGCGAAATGGTGGGCTTGACGACGCAACGCGCGAGTGGATGGAGTGGATGGATCAGTCAGCAAGTCTATCAGTGAGGCAATCCATTGATCCTTGCGCTGTTCAGTAGCAATACATTTAATTATTCTTGGACCTATATGATGCTTGCCAACAGGTGTTTCTTTTTATTACTGCTCTATGACTGCTCAGTACAGAAGGTAATGTGATTGACATCATCAATTCAAATGTCATCATTTTGGACGTGTAGCAGCTCCACCTTAAAAAATGTCATTAGGAAACTGAATTCCTTCACTACGGAATGTCATTTTCTATGCCCGTATGGCATGGTTATTAGTTTCAGCAAAGAAAGGACATTACAAAGGAATGACATTAGATTTGTCATGTGACGGGGGTATTAGTCTACTGTGTGCCGTAACAGTGGTAGTGGCTTCAGGTAGTGAATAAATAAATAAAATGAAATAAATTTCTTTGACGAGGTGGGGTTTGAACCATAGCACTCAGTCTGATCGCAAATGTCATAACTACTGGGCCATACATGAATTTATGAGAATAAATGGGCGTCTCCAGGAGCGTGCAAAAGGGGCACTTGCCCTCCTCAAGCCATTCCTCACCCAAGCTATAGCAGTGCTGTCCCACTCCCCCGTCAGTGAAGCAACACTGGTTTGCGCCCCCCCCCCCCCCCGAGAGAAAATCTTGCCGACGACCATGGAACTATAGAAGCATAAGGATGCGTTGTATTGATGATTGTAACACAATGGTATTGTAACACAAAAGCAGAATACTTGGTATGACACTTCTCTCAAAATTAAAGGAAAGGCATAGACCTAATAGTAGTTTTGGTACAAAATACCTGGAAAGCAATTAGCACTTTTCAATGGGACTTACTTGAATAAGCCAAGGCAAGGCCCCTGAGTGCTTAAAAGGGTGATGTAGATAATGGGGAACACTTGGCAGGTTTCAGCTGCGCTAGCGGCAAATAATACGACATGAGATATTTGCTGTTGCCTGAGCTGGCAGGTCACGGGATCTCTCTTTGACCAGTCACGTGTAAGCACTTATGTTTCAAATCTAATGGCGGACATGCAACACTGCATGATCTTGCTAGCCACTCCCATACGCTGGCGCACTTACAGGTTCGCCGTCTTTCACGACATGGAAGTCACTGAATTTTTTAAAGTGTGATTGCACTTAGTGAAAAATTAGTAAAGTTGATCAGAACAGTTTTCTTCCAATAAACAACCAATGAGTGTAAACTTATAAGCAGTTTACTATGCATAACACTTGTCTACAAAATTCATTTTATGAAAAATTAAAGAATCAAAGACAGTAAATGGCCTGAATTACTGAGAATAATGAAACATCATAGTAAGCTCACCATCAATATGTCTGCACTACATTGACAGTATCGGCAACTGAGAACTAGGCTAGACCTGTGGGCTGGATTGACAGCTATAACAGCAATGTTTGCATCCATATATGGGCGTCATAGGGTGCGAGAAGTCTGCCACTGTTGGCTCTGCTTGGTCAGACTTCAGTCATCAAGCCAGTGGTGGCATGCTGTTGCCAGAAGCTCGCTGTTTAAATGTTCTCACTTAAAGATCTGATCGGTGATCGATTGTAGAACCATACATGCGGACTATTTTGATGGTCATAGCGTAAAAGTACATGAAGTCTGGGTGTATCGACTTGGCTTGGTCAGACTGCAGTGCCAGAGTTGGCATGCCACTGCACCAATCCTGCTCACTAACTTCACTCACAAAGTTGTGTCTTTACGATGGGGCAGAGTACAGAATTTGTTATTTCTGTGTCATGTATTGGAATAGAAATATGCCAGTACGTTATCAGTCTACAGCAGACTTTTCGCTGACTTGCCAAGAGCACTACATTTGCTTTTTTGGTGTATACACTTTGCTATAATGAAGCTTGACTGTGATGATAAGCTCGTATACATGCATTGCAAATACATGAATGGCGCATTTGTGTGTTGTATGCTACACCAATTCTAATTCAAGAGCTAGCTCCTCGTTGCTCTGTGATTTCTAGGATTTGTTGTACTCAAATACACTGCCAGTCTGGCTGCTAAAAGGTCACAATGTGTTCCCATGAATTAGCACTGTAAGGCAATGTTATATTCTTCCATTTGCAACTGCATTTTGATGTCTGTCATTTCAGGTTTGTGATGCAACATTTACTACTAATGGCTCTTTGAAGCGGCACATGTGCACCCACACTAGTGCCAGGCCATTCATGTGCCCATACTGCCAGAAGACCTTTAAGACATCAGTGAGCTGCAAGAAACACATGAAGATTCACCGTGGTGATGTGGTAAGTTAATGCATTCTTCTATAAAAATTTATTTAAGAGAAAGAAAAGCTCTAAAGCATAAAGATTTGATGTAAAGCTAGAATCTTGGTTTTTTATAGGATATTTTTTTTATTGCTAGCCTAAGTGTAAGTCACCTGTGCTCTTATCCTAAATCTTTGGAGTAAAGTCTTGTAAAGATTTGCCATTAAAATTGACTTTTTTAGTCCAAGTTATTCAATGAAACTGTTATTAGTATTTGCCTAATATGGGTGTAAAAAGAATTTAAAAAATGCCATTATAAGTGTGCCTTGGCATCAGAATAGATGTGAACAGGAATGAGGGCCTTGGACAGGATGGGCAGCATTTCGATAGGTGGACCGACCTACCTTCATGAAAGGCATCGCATCATTTTTGGAATGTTAGTTTTGAAAGGGTTAGCCGTTGACGTCACGGCACATGGTGTCAGTGTCAGCACTTGTCATTTGCAATTGAATAAACTGGAGAAGGAATTAGAATGGTCTTTCACCCCTGTGAAGATTCTAGTAGGAAAGCAAGGGTCTTCTAATATTGAAAAAGAAAAGGAAAATAAAAAGGGTAAAAGATGACAATGGCTTAGAGCTTTAAAAGTAGGAAGGTCGAAAAAAATGCAGCTGATTCCTCTGTCAAAGGAATCAGTATAACACGAAAGTGAAGTACTTCAAGAATAACTTGCACATTGTGATCAGTATTAAGCCTATACGGCACCATTTGACGTTTCTCTTGCGGCATCATTTTGGCGAACAGCATCCTGCTGCCGTGTTGCTACAGTTAAGGTACTACCATTTTAGTCATGCTCCGTTACATGTATTGTAGCCAGTTGGTGTTCAATGTGCTCAGCTTCAAGAACTTTAGAGGCAGAATTTTTAGTTATGTAGCCATGAACATGTGATCGCGTTCAGCTTCCTGCTGGTGTTAGTGCACCAAAGCACTCGCTTCTGCAGCATTTGCTCTTCAATATTGTTGCCTTTCTGTTACACTTAACACAGCAGTTCTTTTATTCTTATTTGGTGGCATCGCATTGGAAGCAGTAGGTGGTGGAGAAACACCATTTGTGCATATGCTAGCTGCACTGAGCTGGCAACGAGGCATCACACGCTAATACGTCATTAAAGGCAAATCACATACAATGCATTCAACCAATGACCTCTGCTGGTTTCCACTTCACTCATACTGCTGAGACGCTGTCAGCGCTAAATCTGGAAGGCCATAGACGTAATGCAGTCCTTTGCTTCTCTTCTCCCAGGCGGTGGCACTGTTGCCAACCAAGAGTGTAGAAGCGGAAGCTGTGAAACATATAAGGCACATTTGTGAAGCTTTGCACACGTGAGCTGGTAGTGCAGTAGGTAAAATGTCCATTATATTAGTGCAAGGTTAAGAGGATTTGAGTTCAATTCCCAGTTCAACGACATCAATGCAACTTCTTATTATTTTTTTTGTCATCTTGGGCCTGCATTTTACCGACATCATTTCCATAAGAGATATGGCGTCAATGAAGTCTTAGTGGACCCTGGTGTAAAACTCGTTTGTGGGAAAAAAATTTGAACAAGAAATAAAAAAGGCTAATGGTCAATGTAGTTAATGTTTGGCAAATAATTTAGAAGTTATTTATGCTACATTTGCCAAACTGCTACTGAATGAGCAGAGATGTTGCTTCAGTATGCTATAGGGACTCTGCATTTGCTGTCTTTGTTGCAGATTCTGCAGAGGAGTAGCTCAGAGGCCGAACGGGCACAAGTAGACAGCACAGCAACTGCTGTCCTTTCCGATTCATTGGTAGAGGCTTTGGTGCCTGTCAACCCTGACGAAGTTATGGGCCAGAATCATGGCAACCTGGATACAGCAGTCTGTGTCAGTGATGACCTTGTACAGAGCAGTGCCATTGAACCAAGTGATCCCGGTAGCTTTGTTGCACAAGAGGTTTTAGTACAGGTAAGGCCATATGGAATCCTTCTACATGCAAGAAAGATGAAAACTGGTTTTGGTCTCTCTGACAAGGTGGACTTTATGCTTAGCCACGTGCCAGTTTGCAGAAAATACTGCTATGGTTTTTTCTGAGTACCACATCACAGAGTGAGCAGCAAGTGAAAATGAGAATAATTTCATGGTTTTTCTCTTTGGTATTTCCTTCAGAGAGCACTAACAAGAAATGCTGAATGATTATGCATTAGAATGCAGTTAAACATTGATATAACAAAGTTGATAAAATCAGCAGTTCACTTTTTTTTGTATTGAAAATTCATTTAATTTTGAAAACATCTGGTGTGTAAGTGTCTTCATCAAATTAAAATTTGGCATTTTAAACAATTTATAATGGCCAAGGGCTCCTTTATTTCATGGGAAGTGCAGGGACAGTGTTCGAACAATATAGCAGCGCAAAAAGCTAATTTCAGAAATGTGTCAAAGTTAATTTTTTTTATCATGGAATATAAAGAGTGCGGCTTGATGCTGTATCGGCGAAGGCCTTTTCACAACAGCCGAACATCACATTTGAAGACGAAGGAAATGCAGGCCAAAGGCACTGTGGTAATATGGAATAAAAAATGATATTGTGCTAATCTGCAGCCACTGCCTATCATTTACAGGTATTTCCTGTAGTGGTTCAACGCTGATGTTATCATGGTCAGTGAACTTAACCACTTGGTTCAATAAATGCGCAATGTTGATAACCTTCGCTAATACCCTCCATAAAACCAGAAGAGATGACGTCTAAATTCACACAAAAGCAAGGCCACAATGTGAATTACTCAACCATTTTGCCAGAGGCTCCAGCGGAAGATTAAGTTTACTACCTTTGTTTCCCTCATGCCAGCACTAAAACTTCGTTATATTGAAATCACCTATAAGCACTGGAGCTGTGCGAATAGCAAAATTTTGGGTGTGAAGGGAATCTAAATATTGGAAGTGTGAGTGTGAATCGAATGGAACATTGTTCAGATGTTTCTTGAATATTTACTGAATATCTTTTGAACACTACCAAGTGAAACTGCAGAAAAAAAAATTTGGAAAGGGTTTTTAGAGATATTTTTGTAAGGTAGCAACATGAAAGTGTTTATTTTTGTTAAGCTGATGAAGTGCTGGTGGAGTTGTGGTTTCTAGTTGTCTATTTAAGAGTGAGGAAATACAGAAGTCAAATTGTTTTTATCTACATGATTTAGTGCAACCAAAGTGTTGCTGACAATACTTTATGCGTGGAAGACAAAGATGTTATTTCCTCTGCCTCTCCTACTTTTCCAACTTCTGTGAAAGCCCAACTGATGTTGTGGCAAGGGTATGCTCCTGTCAAGTCCAGAGTTCCAAATCTGCCTCATAGACGTCAATATATAAGAACATCTGAACTGTCGGATGCTAAAAATCTGCGACGTCAGATTTTTCAGACTTCGTGTCCAAATTTCTGGTCCAAAAGAGCGTTAGTTGAGCTCACACCTCTGCCACATCTTTCACCTTCATGTTAGAACTATTGTTTTCTCGAGTCAACACATTTGCTTTAGTATTATAGCCTGAAAGGCAATTTTGCCAGAATATGTAAAGTGTCATGGGGTGAAGCATAACAAAGAGCTCAAGGGGCATTTGTTTTTGAAAAGTTCGATCGTAGTGGAGTTTGAAAAGCAGCTTTGTCGCAATACGAGAGTGTAATAAGGTGAAGCATATTGAAAATCTGAAGGGGTCACTCTTATTTGACTCAACACATTTCAAGCTAGTTGGTTTTATTTTTATTTTATTTTTTCATATTGAGGTGAAAACATCGCATACTAACAAGGACAGAAGAAACAAACACAGATACAGTTGCTGCCTGTGTTTTCTTGTTCCGTCCTCATGAGTATATGCTGGTTTCACCTTGATTCAATCATATGTTGACTGTATTTGTCTTTGGGGAGTTTAAATAGTTTGAATAGTAAAATTCTGGTGGGAAACGACCTGAATAGCAAACACTATTTGAAAAATATTTGAAATTTCTAATATTCACCACCTTTAACAAACACGCTTCATTATATATCCCTTTCCAGCCAGAGAAAAAAAAAGACAAAATGCAAACTTGCGCAAAAATGATTACTATTTGCTCTATTCTAATGAACTTTTCAAAAGTTCAACGGAAAAAGAAAACAGACTATTTGGATGGTAAAACAAACCCGCATGTATGTGGCTGGGCTTTTTTTACTGTGATCAGCTGCAGTGAGGAGTACACTTAGGATGACTAGTAGAAAAACATACATTTTCAGCACTGCCCGTGGAATATTTTACAGAATTGTTTGCCACTCAGACCGACTTTGTGTCACTGCAATGATGACCAGTGGTCATGTGACTAAAGTCGTTTCTCTGTGCTAGCAATTTTATTCAATCTAGAAGACTTCCCTATAAATTGATGAATTGATCTTGTGGGGCACCTTTTTCGCAGCTTTCAGTTGTTTCTCGCTTTGGTTATGTGTGAAATTCGTCAGTGATCTGATGCAGCCACTGATGAGGGTCATACCTCAAGCTGCTTGTTCTTTTGCAGGCTTCCTTGCACATTTTTTTTTTTAATATCTGGACCTGAGGTACACTGCCATTTGGTCAGCGGGGCTTTACAAAATCGTTGCAACAATCAGCCTGAGAAATGTCTAAAAAAAACATCGGGTCATTTGGGACTTCAGGCAGGTAAAGCCAACATTACTAGAATAAACTCAGTTTGAAAACTCCGCCAGAAAGGCGGGGCACGCGTGTTGTGATTGGCGGCGGCGATGTGCAAGCGGCTAGCTACCGCGAATGGTGTGCTGTATTATCACGTCACTTCTCGGACTGTTTTTGGCACTGCGTACTTTCTTGTACGAAAATGCATTTGTCATGTATGAGGCATAGCGAGGAGAAGCAGATTTATCTACATTGGGGTACGCGGACTAGCTTTGCGCCAGGCTCCAACGACGACGACCGCAATGATGACTCCACTTTACGCAACTTGTTCGTTCATTTCTTATTCATTAATTTATTTTTTGTGTAAACACGGTTACACAGTGGTGTGGGCCAACATAAAAGCTGCTATAAGCAGCTTGAGAATGTCATATATGTAGCCTCCGATCTCTTTCGCCCGCGGTGGTGACGGGCTAGCAGACGAACGATCGTAAGCAAATTTGCTGCCCAGCCTCGCACGTTACATGAAAGAATTCATATTGTAGTGTAAATTAATATTATTATTATTATTATTATTATTATTATTATTATTATTATTATTATTATTATTATTATTGTTATTATTATTATTATTATTATTACATGCGGTAGCAATTGGTGTATATGGCAGAAGTGACACGGTTGAGTAATATGTACATTGTGTGAGAGCAATTACACAACAGTCACAAACACAAAAATTACAAAACTTGAAAGACACTTGAGCTTTGCCTTCAAGAGTAGACTGCAATAGCGAAATTGGGCCCTGTGCGAATCACCTTCTCAATTACTAGCCTAGCTTCGGCCTTGGTGTATTCCTCAACTGTGTCGTGAGGGAACAAACGACTGTGCATGCAACACTGGCCGTTTCAAGGTACTGTAGAATGTCTACTGCAAGTACAGTTGTGAAGTGCTCACTGCGTCATAATTTTTCCTTTTGTGAATCAGCAAAGGTGCCTTTACATGTGTGTAAAGCAACATGCTGACATAAGTGAGTGCCCTGTAATGGCTGGGCCTCTTCTACACCCACTCGTTGCGCATTACGCATGTTTAGACACCTGACGCGATTCTACGCTTGTACCTCTTAATATTGCATGGATTGAAGAAATGCCTTCTACTACATGAACAAAAGAAGTGTAAACATGAGACTTTGCTTTTATCGCTGGACACAATATTAATGCGAACTTCTAATACTTGAAATTTATATTGTTTTTTTTTTTTCTGAATCGATTTCGACCATTGGCGTGCCTCTGTGGCATAACACCTGATTGCCATGCTGAGAGCCTAAGATCAATTCTCACTCGTACTGAAGGTTTTTTTTTTAATTATTGGCAGGTTTTTTGTTTTCTTCTTTGTCTTCTCACTCACAACTGTAGACGCTGACAGCGATGCCAACATCGGGATTTCTGTGAAACGAGCTCGTTAAAGCGATCAAGTTCAAATATACAATGAATGAAAATTATATATAAAAATGCAGGCAAAGAGACAGCCATTTATCCTACAAGTTAATTTGAGAGCATGATCAAAGCACACACTGAAAGGTAGTTCTGACCTCCAACAAAAATAACTCGGGAGAGTGACCAGACAATCGAAACAATTTAATACCATGCTACAATAGTAGAACTTTTAAATCAGGTGTAGTAAAGTGAATCAATTGCATGCCATCATTTGGTCCTGATTGGGGTATAAATCAATTATGTTGACCTTGACAGACCTCCGAAGAAATCTGGTCCAATTCAGAAGGTGGTGCCAAGCTGTGCGTCGCAAAGATAAAAAGCTCACTGCCCAACGCAGTCTATGACGCTCAGTGTGGGAATGATGGCATTGTAACGCACTACCATCATGTCTTGCAGGACAAGAAGTCGTTGATCTCACGTGAAAAGTGGGAGCTCACACCCAGTACCCATCCGCGCTTGTTCCCAGCAATTCCACCCCATATATTGAAGCCGAAACGTTCCTAACCAAAGCGACAATCCCCCCCACCTCACGCTCACCCCCTGAACGCATATGGTGCCCCTCGAATGCTCATTGCCCAGTTTGGCTCATCGCCCAGTTTGGAGGAGCTGCCAGAAATAAAACAGCAAGACAAAAGGCAGCAAGACACAAACGTATGTGTGGTGGTGTTTTGCCAGTGACCAGATTTTGTTACATTTCTTTCATAATACAGCAATAGATATTTTTCTCAATTGCAGTGTTCTCATTTCTGAACCTAGAGCAAGCAACGGTAGCACATGTCGGTGTCACTTCTCAGTGTAGTGAAGTGCACTAGGAAGTAGCCCACCATGAGTGTA